CTTTTTCCTTTTTCCTTTTTCCTTTCTCATTTTTTCCTTTGTGGTTCTATTCTCATTCTCCTTTTTCGAAATCTTCAATATGGCTAGATCAGGACAAGAATCAGCGTGGACTGACTCCGTCGTGTCAACTCGTAGACCATCAGAGGAGTGGCAGGCATTGGGACGAAACCCTGACCTACCCGATCGTCTGAGTATGAGAGTTGATACCAAACATGGCGGCCTTGATCCTGCTAGAAGCATCTACAACAAGTCGATCACTCCAGCCGTGGAGAAAGGCGTGCACCCATTCCGCGACAACGATGAAGAGGAGGAAGAAGAAGATCTCAAGAAGCATCACGATATGTTCGACCCGAACCGACCCAAGATGGCTTTGAAAGACCGCCTTCACCATTTCACATGGGCTTGGTACACCTTCCCAATGAGTACGGGTGGTTTGTCTCTCCTCATCTTTGCCCAACCCCATCAGTTCCCCGGACTGTTTGAGATCGGTATGACTGTGTACATCATCAACATCATCCTCTTTACCGCCATTTGCTCGACTATGCTGCTGCGCTTCTTCTTCAACCCCGGCGACATGTCAAAGTCAATCACCCACGAACGCGAAGGCTTCTTCTTCCCTACCTTCTTCCTCTCGATCGCGACTCTTATAACAAGCACCGAGCGGTACGCCATCCCAGACAACGATACGACGCTGGCGTGGGCTATCCAGGTTGCATTTTGGGGATATGTTATCTTGACGCTTCTTCTTGCTGTCGGCCAGTATAGCTTCGTTTTTGCTAAGCATAACTTTGGTCTGCAAACTATGATGCCGACTTGGATTCTTCCTATTTTCCCCATCATGTTGTCTGGAACCATTGCTTCTGTTATTGCTGATACCCAGCCCGATATCGCTGCCATTCCTATCATCGTGGCTGGTCTGACGTGCCAGGGTCTTGGTCTATCCGTTGCCATCCTGATGTACTCCCACATGGTCGGCCGTTTGATGTCCGCCGGGCTACCAAACCGTGAACACCGCCCTGTAAGTGACTCTTCCCAGACTCTCGGCGTCTTACTAACATATGACCCAGGGACTTTTCATGAATGTCGGTCCTCCCTCCTTCACAGCTCTTGCTCTCATCGGCATGGCTAATGGGCTGCCGAACCATATTGATCCGGACATGGATGGAATTACCATCGATGCTGGTATTATCCGTACAATGGCTCTTATCTCTGGCATCAGCCTATGGGCCCTCGCCGCTTGGTGGTGGGGTATTGCGATCGTCGCTGTTCTCCAGTCACCACCTGTGTATTTCCATTTGGGTTGGTGGGCGATGGTGTTTCCCAACACCGGCTGGATCCTGGCTACTATCACTATTGGTAATGCCATGGAGAGTGAGCCCGTTAAGTGGATGGGCACAGGTATGAGTATCGTGTTGATTATCACCTACTTCTATGTCCTCTACAACCACATCCGGGCAGTGATCAAACAGGATATCATGTACACTGGAAGGTAAGCTACAAATCATGTTCACTGTCAGTCTCTGGACTCTGCTAACTTTCACAAGGGACGAGGATTTTAATGACCATTGATTGGTGTTGGGATATGGATATGCCTAACCATAGACACGGCAGGATTTTGCAACCTCTCTGATAGCCTAGATAGGATATAGAAATTGAATCAGATTGAGACTTTTGTAAACTATAATACAAGCGCAAGTTCAATGAGATCTTCTGCATACCCGCATCATCTCGGCCCCATAGCATTTTCCACTTACATAACTGATTAGTCTATTGAGTGGATTGAAGCCCTTCGGACTTTCGGACACCGAAGGTCCTCGACTCCACAAGCGGGCCTTCGGACTTTTCT